AAGTTTGATTAAAATGGACCAGCAGGTGAAGTTTCTTCAAATGATATCATGCAGCATCGTGGGGAAGATGTTCTCTCATTAGCAAGTACATTTCAGTTTCCATTCACATTTTGAAGTACGTAAGCTAAAAGTGAACAGACTCTATAGAAGACACTTAATTAAAAGCTGACTATCAAAAATTTATTTTAGATGGCGCTAATAATCTAAAACATGAACATAATATCTACTGATTCTTTAGCACCAAGAGACTGTTTTATTATGTTGCCAGTCCAATAAAACCTTGCGTAGCAAACAACCCTCTTATTTAAAAGACGAAACAGATGCCACTCTGGTGTAATCATCATAAGGACAGAGCAAGGTTAGCTGTGTTACTTTCCTCTGGTGTGAATCTCTCCTCTTTCTCCCTGTAGCTCTATAGGGTTCTCTTCTCCCCTTCTCTCATCTCTGTGCTGGTGGTCAAATCCCCTTAGCTAAATCAAATGGTGCAGGCAATTGGAGCGGCCGTGAAACCATTTCAAAGGTAAGGTCAGCAGGAGCAAGGGGAACAATGGCTTTGTGATATTCCATCTTGCACACAATGTGCTACATATAATTGGAAAGCCTTTGTTATGTGACTCCCATTTGACTATGATGTACAAGATGTGAATACAAACACGACAGGTGGAACGATAGCAAAGGAACACGTTCACACCGAGTTTCCTGGTTTTACATCACAGTTTAGGTCTGCCTGGCTGCTTATCGCCAAAAAGCAATATCTAAGTGTCCCCTTGCTAACTTTGGAGATGGATTTTAGTAATTAGGTCAGGTGCTTTTATGTATCTTTTTCGCTTGTAGTATCAGAATTTTCCCCTCCGTTTTGTTTTTCTGTCTCTCTCTCTCTGTTCCAGTGTCCACTTTCCTTCCCTCTTACTTTCTCTCCTTTGTTTATGAGGGACTCTGATCTCCTGGGGCTTTACAACAAACACCAGAATTTCTGGAGGTTAAGCACAGCTATGATAATACCCAAGAGAACACAGAATCTAACTTTATAAATAATCTAAATGAGTAAATTTAGGCCACTACATTAGTCAAGTTGATAGTTATTGTTTGAAGTTTGTACCATGAAACGCAGCAAGACCATTTTGTCTATTTCAAGAGTCCATGAAAAGTCAGTATGTTACATACTAAAGGCAGAGCAGTGACCAACTAAATGCTGTTGCTCAGTGTGCACTCCCCCCTCTTCTGGCCAGCCATTTGGATGATACCATTATGAATTAGCATACAGTACCTATGGCAACCGGCAACCTTTGTCAGATTTTTTCATAATATTTGTACAGCCGTCTGCCGCTCGCTTTATTTAGCTCCAGCTTGATGGGGGTATGTGATAACTTCTTGTTCTGTCTGTCTCACACAGGTGAAAGTACCAACTAAAAGCACACAGAGTTAGCTTTTTAAAAAGACTTAGGAAAGACAATTAGAGGTAAATTATCACAGTGGCTGTGTTCTGAGTAATTTGGCCTGCACTTTAGATATTTTACTGTATATAGTTGCACAGTAAAAAGGTGTGTATTGCTATAATAAGGTCATGCACACTTTTAGAATTAGGAACCAGTTTTAATATGCCCTTGGTTTTACAATAGTTCTATAATGCAGCTTACAGTACAAGCTTCAGACTTACACTAGAATGAAGCAGTTGTACAGCTTCATTAATTAGGACAGAACAACGATCTCTAATGAAAGTTTAATTACTGCTTTGAAATATGAGTGAATTGAAATAATAGCAGACAAAATGTGTGCTGCATTCAAAGCAAAATCAACAAATACAAAACATTTAAAGGTATTATGATTCCAGGTTTCTGCTGTTCATGCCTGTATGAGGCTGACACCCACAATGACACGGTGCCCTCCCCTGGTGAACTCTGCTTTTCTGCATGTCTCCCTCCTGTTTATATTAAACATGGTGTGGCTCAGATTAAAGGGTGACAATTCTGCCTGGAGGCTGTTGCTATGGAAATGTGTCTGCTATAGCTATGATAGGCTATTCATGTTTGATTAATTGGTTTTTCAATGCTTCTTGCTTTGTGAGGACCCTTAAAGAGCAAGTCCATGGAAAATGGAAAATTAATGGATTTCTATTGCCTTCTCTTTCCCCCTTCTTTCTGTCTTTCTACTTATTTTGGTGAAGCTATTTCCTCATGTTTTAAGAAGGGTGGTGATGGTGTTTTGAATTATGATTGGAAGTTGGAGATTGCCTTGGATGGGGGAGGTTAGAGCTTGATTATTTGAAATGCAAAAGGAATGTCTTTGTTCATGGCTGGCTTTTGTGAGCAGCTGCTGAGGCAAACACAGAATCTAATGTCCTGTGAATATTATGAGTTTTCAAAGCAGGCCAGAGCCTCATCCAGCATTACTTTGTTGTGCATTTTTATTCTGGCAATCTACTGGGACCAATTACGATTAGAGAGTTGAGCCTTCATCTCTGAAACTGTATTTGTGTTTATCAAGACCTCATATGCTTAGGCCCTTTCAATTTGATCTTTTTTTGCACTGCGCTAATGTGTAATGTATTATTTAACTCATAAATGTTTAAAAGAGCTAACAAATGCAAGTTCATCTCTTTCTGATCTGTAAATTGCCAAACATTCCCATTTATTCCTGCATTAAAAGCATCCCTTGGTTTGTGATCATGTTCTATCCCGCTGAATCCTGAAGATAAGCTTTTTGATGTTGTTATTACTGAAGATCTTTTAAGACCACCAAGAGCAGAGTTTGGTGGGAGTGTGATTCTATAATCACTCTGAAGAGTGTTCTGTGTGAGAGGGTCATTCTCCAGCTGTGAGCACCATTTTTGTTTCTATTTGGGGGTCCAAGTGTTGAAAAAGGTGTTGTTTAACATGGCAGTAAGTAATATTTTTTCCTTCATACCACACAGTGAGCATAATATATCTGCAGGGGGTTGATAGGGTTGCTGATCAATACCATTGACTTAACAATCACTTTACCAGGTGCTGAGATTTCCGGCTTCTCAAAACTTCAGCACAAATTCCAGTCTTTCTCTATCACTAACCAGGCCACTGTATCTTAAGGACCCTGGAGGGGCTGCACTTGTTGCCTGTAGAAGTCACTGGAAGTCAATAGGAAACATGGATTGTACCGTCAGCTGTAATAGAGAGCTCTTTGGAAAATTCATTCACAATCATTTTGACTTGTATGAGAATGGGCCTGTGCGAGAACGTGGCTCAGGGGTGTGGAAAGTCTTAACTGAATGGGGAAGAACTCCAAATTAAATTACAGATTAGATTTTTAATTTTTATTTATTTATCCATTCATCCATTACCTCAAGCCTATCCCAGCTGACATTGGGCGAGAGGCGGTGTACACCCTGGACAGGTCACCTGTTCAGGGCTGACATGTAGACAAACAACCACGTACACTCACGGGCAATTTTACAGTCGCCAGTCAACCTAAGCTGCATGTCTTTGGACTGTGGGAGGAAGCCAGAGCGCCCAGAGAGAACCCACACAGGCACAGGGAGAACATGCAAACTCCATACAGAAAGACCCCGGGTCAGCTCAGGCTCAAACCTGGAACCTTCTTGCTGTGAGGCAACAGCGCTAACCACCACGTCGATCTATTTGCTCATTTATTTATTTTAGATAAACTTGCAATAACTGATTTTAGCCACTTAAACAATGGAACACAACACTGACATATTATCACCATTTAAAACTGTGTAGTGACCTTCTTAGCAAACAGTTGCTCATTTTTCACATCTAGCAGATACTGAAACATTAGCATTCAATTGGAATGATTTGCCATGTGTCTGACACATTTTATTTCTATTTACTTTCATTTTAGCTCTGTTTTTGTTCTCCACCAACTCCTAAGCAATATATCTGGATATTTAGCTGCTTCACTAAGAGCTAGTTGCTAACTCTGTCTGTTGTATGGTTAATGTACAGCTGGTTTTCATAAATATTTTGATGAAAACCACTGCCTGCTTTGCTTCACATGAAAAAGCAAAACAATCAGTTGAAGGATATTTAAAAGCTCTGTGGAGCTGAGGGGATGTGCAGAGTCAGGTGATATGTCTCTGTTGGTTCATCACTATGAGTGACCACCTTTAAAATAGAAGTAGTACTGTGATACATTCTTCATATATTTTAAGAAAAAAATACATTTGCTGCTTTAAGCTCTTCTCAGTCGATAGCTTCACGTCTTCTGCTGTGTAGTTTGGCAGTGATTTTAAAAATAAGTTTTCATTAAAAATAAATCTTTAAAAGGGTATGTTTGGGTCACATTTGCTTTACTGATAACAGCCTATCGTACTGAGTCACAGGACAGCACAGTGACTGACTTCTTATTCAACATCAGGCTCCATCCAGTGCATGAAGAATGTAGTTTTTCTAGGCAACAAGCACAAATTCTTTCAGGCTTAAAAATAAGTCTTTAGAAAACTATGGGGAATGTCACAGATGCTACTGTAGATTCATGTTTTTCTAGTCTGGTTAGTGGATGGTGTTAGCCTTTAGGGACCTTGTTTAGTGCCTGAAGTAAAGTTTGTTGTTTTGGGTTGAGAGGCGGTTTAGTTTAGTTTAGTCTAGTAATAATCTTGTTCAAAAGGATTTTCATAGCAATATTCAGAATTTTCCCACTAGGAATGCCAGTGCTGAAGTCAGCTATGAAACAAGCAGTAAACGTGCCCACAAGTCTGCTATATCGTGTGTGTTGCTAACTGAAGGAAAGACCATTAAGAAAGCAAAGAGAAGTTTTCTAACCACCAGCCTAAGTTCAGTGGTGAGACCACTGAACTGGAAAAGGCTTTTAAGTCTGTATGTTTCCAGCAGACGTATTTCCCTCCTTCACACCATGTCTTTTTTTAGCTTTTGTCCAACATACATATACACATTTTCTCAAATTTTATAATGTCATCTCCACTTAAATATTTGACTGATTGGCAAAATTTTAGTACTTTGAGTAGAGAAGGTTATAGTAAAGCTGGTGTTCTTCTCTCACCCCAGATGCAGGAGATGGCTATGCACCACCACCACCACCACCAACAGCAACACCAACACCAGCACCCAGATGGCGTTCATTATGACCCCGCCCGTAACCACCCCATGATAAACAGCTCACCTCCGATACTGCCCAACCCCATGAGTGCACTGTCCCAGCTAAATCCTCAGGTCAGCCGGAGTTCACTGCCTCATGGCTCCCCCTCACCTCCCGGAAGTAAATCAGCCACACCCTCCCCCTCAAGCTCCAATCAGGAAGAGGAGACTGATCCTCATTCGAAGGTATTGATGTGGCATTGCTGATCTGGCATGTAGTAAAGGAGTAGGAGGCCAGGGCTTGACAGTGCTTCGTTGAGATTGTTCGCATGCTAATTGCAGCGCCGAGTTAAACAGGAATACAGGGTTAGCCATGTTTATGTTTCTTTTTATGGCTGGAAAACTCCGATGTGGTTAAGCAGTTTTGCTGGAGTTTGATTTGTAGCTACGTTTTTTTTTCCTCCCCCATTTTGTGTATGTAATAGTGTGGTGCAGTGCGGTGTCACACTTACAAAGAAAATTGCTTTGGGATATGTTGTTGATTTTTTTTTTCTTTTTTATTCTAGGCAGCATTTAGAACAAGTTAAAATCTGGTCCACACATAAAAGCAACACAATCTTCCCTTTGTACAAGATAATTTCACCCTCAGACAAATTTCTTTTTCCAATTACACATTTGTGAATGGCTCACAATCCATTACCACCACGGCAAACTCACGACATAGCATTAAATCTTTTTCCATAATGCAGCTGCTGAAATATTGTACATTTTTGTTCTCAAGTGAGGAGACAAGGATATTTTAAGGGGTTGATGATCAACACAGAATCAGGGTTTTGTCAGTCCCATCTGTTATACACAGCCTGATTTGAAACCTGACACCACTTCATTTAAATCACCCATTAATTTAAATGAGAACAGGAAAATACTTGTTTACATTCATTTGGTTTATGTAAAGCTGTAAAACTACTTTCATAAATTGCCCACCGACCAATGTCTCTGTGGATCTGCCTCATTTCTGTCAGGGGAATGTGAATGAGTGTATAATTGAATTTGCCATGTCCACAGTGTGTTTCAGATTCATTGGTGTATTTTAATGCTAGCTCACAGTGATGCAGTTTAACAAGAGGGAGGATCCTTTAGTTTAAAAAATGTATTTCCTGGTCTATACATCTCTGCTGTGCTTCTCACTGTGTGCTTGTGAATATAAATGATTACAATCTCTCCTATCAGTAAGTAATTCCATTTACTTTCTTCAATTCATTCTGAGACCCCATCAAAGCCAGAGCAGATGCAGCAGGCAACGTAAAATCCCTTTCACCCCTACCATGAAAACTCTGAATTTATGATTCGCTGAACAACCAAAAAATAAAGATTTGATAAATTCAACTAAGATATGTAATTTTAGTCCAAGTACGGCAGACAGACACTGCTTTCAACCAGCACCTGTGTAAAAGTGTTAGTGTCAGTGAAACATTGCTGTAATATTCAAACACTCACTACAAGGGTATTGAACAGAGAGATTGAATTGTGGGTTTAATGAAATTTATATGCTTCAGCTGGACACAGTGTTATAAACATTAATCAGAAATGCGGTTATTCACTCCACAGCAGTCATATTGGTAGACCTTGTTTCTGCGGTGTCAATAAGCTGTTTTGTTTCTTGTGTCTCTCTGATGGTAATCCAGATCACGGGTGAGAAGCGGCCATCTTCTGAGATGATGAAGCCCAAGCCCAAACCCCAGAAAAAGAAGAAGAAGAAAGATCCCAATGAGCCTACAAAGCCTGTGTCAGCCTATGCCTTGTTCTTCAGAGACACCCAGGCAGCCATTAAGGGACAGAATCCCAATGCCACCTTTGGGGACGTATCCAAGATAGTAGCCTCCATGTGGGACGGGCTGGGAGAGGAGCAAAAACAGGTACAGAAGTGTTTTAGCATTCCATGTTTTCCTGTAGCTGCCACTTGTGGCCGGCATTTGGGAAATTATGAATCTCTGTCTACAACCTGAAAAGGTAGATGCAGGTAGATGCTTATAAATGTCAAACCTTAGTGAAGTGAAGTGTGATATTTATGGATGGCTAGTGGAATGGTTAATTTAAACCTGCAAAAACTAACTTTATACCAGTGTGCAGAGCTTGCATGGCTTGGTGAGTCTCTCTGTTGTAACACACTGTGGGCAAACTGAGACTGATTATGTTCTTCTGACTAGTAGCTGTTAACTGACAATGTAGTCAAGTTAAGTTGTTTTGTATATACAGTGGATTTTACATATTCTACATGTTACATGCTGCATATCACAGGGGTCTACCTAGAAAACTTGGGTATGATGGAGCTTTCAATTTAAAAACAAGTGTTTGCACAGCACATCATTTATAACCGTAACTAAAGATAATTTTCATCAATTGATCTACGAATTATTTTCTCAATTAGTCAAATAACTGCCTGATCTATAAAATGTCAGAAAACAGTAAAAATACCAATTATATTTTATCAGAGATTAAAGTAGTGATTTCAAATGTCTTGTTCTGTCTGAACAACAGTCAAAACTTCAAATAAATCTGGTTTAATATCTTCTATAACAAGAAACAGGATCAAATCATATTATGAAAGGTAAAACATGGCATTGTTGGTTAAAAAAACTTGACTAATTGTTTCATGTTTAAATGCATGTAACGAACCTGGTAGAAAAGTGTTATTTCCGTGTGTGTTTGAAAGGTTTGATTCCATCAGCTGGAGATGTTGTTTTGACAGAAGAGTCATTTTAATTTCATAACAGCCTGACATATGCAGATGGAACTGCAGCAACATTTACATTTACTGCAGTTTTAAGTATTTCCATCCAGCCCATTTCATTTTAGCAATCATCAGAGGGGTTTCTATATGTTTGTGGTAACAAATGATGGTGTGAAATAAATGGAAAAGGAGACAGTCTGATGATCATGTGCAGACTCATATTTTTAGAATATCCAGTCAGGGTGCAGCCTGTTGGGTGTCAAATAAAAGCACCTGTCTCCATGACAAAGTGCAGCCCATTCTCATCAGCCCAAGCCACTGTCGACTAGACTCTATCTGGCATGTGTGTTTTTCTCCCACCAAACCTACTTTATAACCGGGACTTTGGAGGCCGTCTGTCCCTTTTATTTGCAGTTAATTTTTGCCGCCTTCACTGGGGCTCTTCACCATGAATCTTCATTTTGCCACTGACACCCTTGAATGTGAATTCCTCATTTCCTGTCCTTTTATTTATATCTGTTGCCTGGTGATTTGATCATGCTGGGAATACAAGATTAGCAATTGCCTTGTCCTTGGTGTTGCCTCAAGGACATCTGCTCCTGAAATGTTATTGTTTGTGCTTCTTAACTCTTTGTGTCCTGGCTTCTTTTTCACCATAGATTTACCACTGTACATGCAATGCTCTCTCTTTCTTTCTCTCCCTATTTCTTCTCCTAAATGCATTTGTCCTTCACAGTTTTACCTGGAAATAGAGACTAAACTAACACAAGGGCAATTCCACCATTTAAAATGTTCCCATTTACTGTACCATTCTACATTTTTTAAATTTGTTTGTGCATTCATGTGTTTAATCAAACATGTCACCATGCAAGACACATAATTAACTTGATGTAATGATGTCATTATGGAATAAAATGTAGTGTCCTGTCTGGGCAATAACACTGTGATTGCTCTAATTATTCTGTGACTAGTACTGTCACTTATTCCAGCACAACAAATGGATAAACTTGATAACTGTGCACTTAAAGCATGTAGCCGCTTCAGCTCCATCTGTTAATACTCATTAAAGTCTAAAGACATTAAAATCAGTGTCTTTGGTTTAATATTACAAAATATTATAGCGTACTGCATCTACAACTACTGAACAACATTGTTAAAGTGAAATGCATTTAGAATACATGTTTAAACCTGCCACAACAAAGTTTCATATTGTAACATTTTCAATATACAGCCTCTGTCTCTATCTCCCCCTGCTCTTGATCTGTTGATGTATATGCAGTTATGCCTGACCCCCCCCCCAACACTGGCTGTCATGTCATCGCTATAGGACAGATGAGGTGTGTTTATAATGTCACAGTCAGACCATGTGGAGCCATGCAGGAGCACCAGAATGTAAACACAACCCTTTGCCTACACATGGCGTTGTTTTAACTAGAACATGGCCCCTGTTTCCAATTTACCTATAGTACTCCTCAAACACTGTGCGGCATGATTCACATAAAGGCACTGAAGGCAACGTCTTTTATAGCTGTATTTTTACTGAAGAAATGATCAGGTTTTATTGTTATGATTTGTGTTCTTTTTGTTGAACTTCAGTGAGCGTTTTCCCCCACTTTGTTTATCTTATTGTGTATTCTCTAGTGCCGTCCTTGAGTTTGGCAGAACAAAGCCTTTTTTTAAAAATTCATGTTTATGTTCATATTTTCTTTTTTTTATTAAGATGTTTTTGCACCCGATACAGCATTTTTACTTTTAATTCCCAAAGGCCTGTGTAAGAACAATGCAAATCTTTGGGCTGCGTTATTCCTCAAGGTGACTACATGTTCAAACTGGCTCAACAACACAAAAGAACATTTTTCTTGTTTTTGTTGTTTAAGATTAAGATCAATTTTCAGTTTTTGCAGCAGCAGGGAGGAACAGCAATAATGGAGGTGTGGAGGAGGTAGGAGAGACCTTAGCTTTATTTAATTGATTCTGCTGTATTGGGGTTGTGTGTCGGCTAAGAGATGGAGATAGACGGAACACTGTCAGTTTGTTTAAATGACATGCTTTGATATTAAACTCCTCATACAGTATGTGCCCAGCAGTATCCTTCTGTCTTTTTTATTAGTGTTTTACATAGACTTATTTGCGTTGTTTTTCTTTTTAATTTGTTATAATCTCCTCTTTGTCTGACAGATACTTTTCTCCCCTCCACTAGCTTCCTTTTCATCTCCCCTGCTCATCTCTATACTTCCTCATTTGCTTCCTTTCCTCTTCCTCTCACTGGTCGCTCAGTCTTTCGGTCGTAAGGGTAATCACTCCTTCCAGTGTCAGCAGGGTGCAGAGTTATTGTCTCCTGTAATTAACTGGTTATCAAACAAGAACATTTCATTAAGGTACAATTAGGGGCTAATTCAGGCGGGACACCTCTGTGTCAGGATTACGATGGAGGCATATGCTCTCCCCTTGCAGCTTTGTTATTTTTAATTCATACTGACCTGCAGCCTCTGACGGCTTCAATTGCTAATGAATCCACTCACTTTGGAATAATTAGGCATCCTTAGGCATGGTAATTTATTTAAAAGTATCCGTCGTTGCGTGAGTCATTAGCTGTGTTAAATTAATTTGAAATTAAAGCTGCTGGGAGTTTGGGGTTCATTAAAGAGCCAGCTATGGCTCTATCAATATTTAAGGGTTGAGGGGAAAGTTTGTCACTTTTTTTATTTTATTTTTTATAAACACAGACCACTTAATATCTTTAAAGAGATTGAATTTTTATGATGAATGTCTATGGTTTATTCCTAATTCAATCTGGTCATTCTAAAATATCTGAATGTTTATCATGGAAGGGAAGTAATAATAATAATAATAATAATAATGTAAATAGGGAGGAGTGAGAGGATAAACAGCAGCTGTTTGAGCAAGAGATTGTATTCATCTTCATCCCAGTTTGTTTGCTGTTCTGTGTATGTCTGTTTATTGACTGTATGTGCTAGTGGCTGCCTGCCTATGCGCATTTGGCAACGCATGGATGCTTAATGGTTATCCTACACCTCTTTGAAAGAAATGACCCTGTCCAAGGAGCTACAAACATCCTCTCACTGAGGACCAGTAATTACCCACTGCATTCACACACAAACACACTTTCCTTCCTATTAAAATGCTCCAGAGAGGAACTGAGATCTGAGTTGTCCTCGTCGATTTAAGGGCGGGCTTTTTGTGACTTGTTTTTCCTTCATCAAAAAGGCAACAGTAGCTATAAAGAGCCCATGAGTGACATGTGATGACATTAACTTGAATTCCCTGTCTTAACGCATCATTTGAGGTTCATTCCGAAGGCTTGAGTTTGCCTCTTTGCTAATGCTGTTTTGAATTTTTACTTTATTATTTCCTCATCGGAATGATTTGCTGGGACATCAGCCCTGATTAAGAGATGAACAACAGTCTTAATAGTGGAGAGGACTGAAAAGCAGTAACGTAAAGTGACAAACAGCTTGTCACTCTGTATTTAGCTTCATAATATTTCTAACTGTATCACTACAACATTTCCTGGCATTCCATCCTGGATATTTCAAAGAAATAAATGATTCAAGTGTAGCAACATCATGCAGGCGGTCAAATGTTCTTGACTTGATAAAAGTAAATGCATTTGATCTGTTTTTCATCACAGAGCACACTGCCAGGTCACACAATCACACTAGGACTCCCAAAATCTCATCCACATTAGTCAGTATGGACTACAGGGTCATTTTAGCCTTTGGCATCACCTTATAATCAATCGTTGTTGTTGTTGTGTTTGCCCCTGCAGAGCTACAAGAGGAAAACAGAGGCAGCTAAGAAGGAGTACCTGAAAGCCCTGGCCGCCTACAGAGCCAGTCTGGTTTCCAAGGTAACCGTGGGGGTCACGTCTTTGATATACATGGGTCAGTAGTGATATAACGGATGATAAATTAGACAGAATTCCTCTCACTCTTATTCCAAAGAAAGGGTCCACTTGCTGCACTGAGGGGTTAGTATGCTTGTGTATGTGTGTGTGAGCAGAGAAAATCAAGGCTCAACCATACCCGATTTGCTACCTGGGGAGAAATGAAAAGTAACACTATACATCTGTGTGCTCATCAGTGTGCACATGTAAGAGCCAAAGTGGATATTACCATTACATTAGCTGTCCTCCACTAATACTTTGGCTGACTTTTACTAACTCTGCTCTCTCGTTGCTGTGGGTTAGTCCAGCTTAGCCCCAAACATTAACATATTTCTGTCATCCGGTTTAAAATTTGTCCAACCTTTCAAAAGCTGATGAAATAAGTTCCCCCAGTTCTTCTTACATCTGCAAGGATTTTACAATAGATACAATAAAGGGGTGCTTTTACATGTTCAGTCTGTTGGTGAACTGCATTTCACTTCTGTTTCTGCATTGTTTTTGAAACACAACTCTAAATTGCATTAGCATATATCAAGCTCCTCCTCTTCCCCCTCTCTCTCCCCATCCTCCTTCCTCCCCTCCACCCAGCACCACACTTCCTCTCATGCTCATGGGCCGAAAACAAGCACCTTGATTAAGGCTTGAATAGTTAATTCATCAGCCTCTTCACTGTGGCATACTTTCAACTAAAAAGACTATTCTCATTGCTTGTCTTTGGTGCAATTAGACATTCATGTCAGAGCCTCTATACAGAGGCTTGATTGATACTATATGTTGGTAGATTGCCAGTCAAAAAACTGACTGACAAAAATAAACCTGCAACCTCCCTCTTCACTCATTCAGGACCAGCCAATCTGAATGCAGGGCTGAATCTCATGATTCAACACAACTCTTTTTTAATTACCAATGAAGGAGTCTTTTCAAAGTGAATTGGAGTGGGTGGAATTGGAGGTAATTGGAGCATCATTTGAAGGATTCACATCTTCACTGTGCACCTGTTGCCTTTTTGTTTTGTGGCGCATGTTGGTTTGTTTAGGGGAAGAGGAAAAAACAAAATTTTGATTGCTACCCACTGTATGTAATGACATTTCTCTTGTGTTCATTTGAATCCAAAAACTCAAAGTACAGAGTACACATTTTAAAACTGTAAATTAAAAAGTCATGCTATGTAGTCAATTTCATGGATTTTATAAATGCGTTGGTCCTCCTAAACCATCTTTTAACATATATGTTGCTCATTTATTTCCTCTGATAAAAATGAAATCCTTTACTGCAAGACGCCATTCTTAAATTAAGGTGCAGCAAATCAGCCATCTTTTGATTCTGTCCCTCTCCCCCTTCATCCCAGTTCTTTAGTATTTCATTTTCCACTTGACCCGGCAAATGTGTCTGTGCCTCTGTTTTATTCATTCCTCCATCCCATTCCATTGATAAGTTCAACGGTTCAGAGGGGTAGTCATGAGCTAAACTAAACAACAGACCACCACACATCATTTCAGCCAGTCTCTCAGATAATGAGAAACACTGAATTTTCTTTATGTAAACACCTCTTTATTTTTATTGTTGTAGATTTTGAAGCGATATGTTTGCCATTTCTACCCATCATTATACACTTAATCACCCATGATGAGTGAAACCATGGTCAGAGTTGTCCAAAAATGAATCAAGAATTAAGAACTGAAATCTCTTGCTCTTCAAAGTATTCAGACCCTTCATTCATGTTAAGATTTGTAACAGCTGCATGTCTTCTTGGATACACCATTACAAGTTTGCTCACCTCAATTGGGGTACTTTATCTTGTTCTTCATGGCAGATCCTCTCAAGGTCTGGTGAGCATCTGTGTACTGCCATCTTCAGATCTCTACACAGATGTTTTATGAGGTTTAAGTCTGGGCTTTGACTGGGACACTCAAGGACATCCAGAGACTCGTCCCAAAGTCATTCCAGTGCTGTTCTGGCTGTAATATTTGGGTCACTGTCATGTTGAAAAGTGAACTGTCGCCTGAGTGTGAGTTTGTGTGCACTCTGGAGGTTTTCATCGAGGATGTTCCTGTATTTGGCTGCATCCACCCGTACCTCAGTTCTTACCAGTCTCCCTGTGCCTGCCACTCAGAAGCACCCCTGTAGCAGGAGGCTGCCACCACCATGTTTGACCATAGGGGCTGGTATTAGCCAGGTGATGTGCAGTGGCTCTTCTGTCCAAAGATTTTTGTCTCATCACACCAGAGAATCTTTTTGCACATGTTGGACTCCATTATATGCTGTGTAGCAAACTCCAAGTAGGCTGTCATGTGCCTTTTAGTCACCAGTAGCTTCCATCTTGTCACTCTTCCATAAAGGCCTGATTTATGGAGGGCTGCAGAAATGATTGTCCATCCAACAGGTTCTTCATCTTTGCACAGGACTTTTGAAGATCCCTTCTCACTACCCTGACCAAGACCCTTCTTGACAGGATATCCAGTTTGGCCAGTGCAGGGCTTTTTTCATTTCAAGATTATCAAGGCCACTGTGGTCCTGGAAACACTCAATGTCTTGGAAATCATTTAATATCTTTGCCCCAATCTATGCCTTGCCACAAATTGATCAGCCATCCACAGCCAGTTCCTGAGACGTCATGGCTTGGTGTCTGTCCTGACAAAGTAGGACTGTTTGTAAATTTTGAGCTCAGGTGTGTCCCTTGCCAAACATCATGTGCACACAAGTTGAGTTCTAGTCACATCTGAAGGATAATTAAAGCAAACAATGCTCTTGACCAGAAATGGGAGTGCCACAGCAAAGGGCTTGAATACCTTTGAGAGTAAGAGAGATTCTTGATTCATTTTAATATTTCTTAATTAACTCTGACCATGTTTCCACTTTGTCATCATGGGTGATTAAATGCATAGTGAGGTGTAGATATGGCAGTTGAATCCATTCAAAATTTAATCAACAACAAAAATGTGCCAAAAGTAAAGGGGTGTGAATACGTTCTGAATCCACATATGTACAGTATGTGTGGGGGTAATGAATAGTATAGCATTAGTGTACACTGCTCACCATACAGAATACAGTACAGACTACAATGAACTGAAACATCTTCACATCAAATAAAAGTTTCTTGGAAGAGTTTGTCACAAATTTATTTAATTGAGTTATTTAAATAATCATCTTTGAACTTGAATTTGTCTGTGCCAGCTGCTCCTTTTCTTTTGCTTCACATATTGTTTTGAAAGCTTCCCATGAGAGGACTGACTCTGTGGGAATGGGGGGGTGCAAAGAATTATGGGACAGTTTTATCATTTAGAGACCATCAGCTCCAGCTGTTGTATGGCTGCTCAAATCTGTCTCCGACTACAGATGGGTGACAAATTAAATAAAAAAAAAACAGAATAAATTACTGTTCTTGTCCAGGATAAATATGAAAATTATGCAAATCATCTGCTATGGCCTTTGCAGTCACCAGATTTCAATGCAGTTGAACATCTATGGGAACTTTTGGAGCGACATGTTAGACAGCGTCTCCACTACCGTCATCAAAACACCAAATGAGGGAATACCTTTAGGAAGAATGATGTTCATCCTTCCAGTAGAGTTCAAAGACTTGTAGAATCATTGCCAAGGTGCAATGAAGCTGTTCTGGTGTCACATGGTGGCCCAATACCTTACTAAAAGGTTTTTTTCATTAGAGGAACCTACCGAAACATGTCGCACCGAGTAACACTCATCACAGGTTCTGTGTTTGTTTCCACTACAGCATGCCCACTTTAGAGATGCGTTCTGGAGCTCATATTCGTCACCCCTCAGGTGGTAGTAGTAAAATAAAGTACAAGGAATGCAATGGTGGGTGGGGGTGCATGCACAGATCAGTCACCAGTGATTGGTTAAATGTCCACGTCTTCACACCTCAAGCATTAACACTACAAGCACTGTCTGCAAATACACAGCTGACTGCGTATGTGAGAGGGGAGCAGCCCCTCCCTCCTCTAAACAGAAACCAACAGAGAGAAAATACAGTGGAAAGACAAAGCAGGATGGTCTGCATCAGCCACAGAGACTGTGCTTGGTGATAGTTAAAGGAGATCCGGGGTGTACCGCTCATTAGGTTCCAATAATGGAAACGCAGCATATAACACTTTGTTGGTTTTTCCTTTAATTTAGTTTAATGTACCCGTCTGTGTATTTGCATTGTGAAAGATTTACAATAACTATCAGCTTCAATACTGGCCATACTGTTTGATTCTGGAAAGAGCCATCTAAAACTACTAAAATTAATTTCCACCAAACATCAAAGCAACAAATCTTACAGGTATGCATTTCAATAAGAAGTGCAGTAGATTAAGTCCTAAACAATACTGAAACTCTTCAACAATGCTCACAGTGTTAATATTTCACTAAATACTTGATTTATCTTTGAAGGATAGCTCCAGGCTATTACAACTTTAGTCCCAATTGTGTAGTTTTGGCCACCATTTCTGGTGGTTCTAACATTGTACTGATGCCATAAAGTGCTAAAATCTGTGAACATGCAACATAAACTCAGGAAAAGGAAGAGTCAGAATGAAACAGGATATTTAAAAAACCAACAGTTTAGACAGATTATCTAAACCAATAATCTCTGACTTGTCAATGAAAACTACACAAAAATACAAAAATAAGATCAGGAGAGTAATCAGTAGTCAGTGACTTCAAGTACGTCCTATTCCCATGAACTTGACTGGTTAATGGAGGCATACAACCACAGAGCTGTAATTCTAGTTACAATTAGTATAACCATTTTTCTTCTCTCTCCCCTCTAGACATATAATGACCCGGTGGAGACAAAAAGTGTCCAAACAAGCCAGGCTTCTCCACATATGATGCCAGCCAACCCGCCCCTGTACAGTGTGCCACCTCCCCCCCAGCCATCGTCGCCCTACCTGGGGCCCGGGGCCTTTCCTCTCACCGACCTGCAGAGTTACGCAGGACACGCCCCTCGTCACACTTTGTCGCAGACGCTCAGCCAATCACAGATGCTGCCAAGCATTAGTGCCTCTCCCCCTTCCTCCTTTCAGATCAGCCCACCCCTTCACCCCCACCAGCAGCTCTCCCTGCACCAGAGCTCAATCCTCAACCAGCCTATCCGCATGCAGCAGGTCCAATCCCAGCCAATCATCTCTCACCAGATGGGGCTGCAGGCCTCACTTCACTCACCACCTCCTGGGCAGCAGGTATAACAAATGCACGTGCTGCTGTAGAACAGCTATATAATTGTAAAACATCGGCTCAGTTTCCTTTATTTTTTTTTTTAAAGGGTTTTCCCCACCTCCAGTCAGATTATCAGAAGGCCATTGGAGGTTCCCAGTCTCCAGGAGCCCCTGGCCCTGGCTCTGGTCCTGGAGTGGCTCAGAGTCATGACTGGGACAGTGAATATTGCAATCGGGAGTGTGGCAACCACTGCAGGTCAGTGAAAGCAGACAAATCACTGCAATTTATCAAAACCCACAGACTTGAAAGGCATTTGGAAAGGATACAAAATGAATTGAGCTCAACAAACTGTTATTTACTCTTTAAAAAAAAAAAAGATTATGGGTCTTCATTGGTAACTTTTTTCCCCTACTGAATTTGTCATAAAGATATGGCCATATGCGAGTACTAGATGAGAACTTGCTTAGAAATAAGCATAGCCTATATAGTCATGTCAGATGTCTCTCCTACTGCTATCTCAATACAAGTGTTGAAAAGTGACAACTCTGTTCCAGTGAGACAGCTGGAGAGGTAATGTCGAAATAATAGAGCTTGTCATGTGTTTGTAAGACAGCAGTTAAAAAAAAAAAAAAAAAAAGACAGATGTTCCTAACAGAAGTTTTCATTGTTACTGTACTGAGCAGTTTGGTGGACTGTGCAGTCCTGCAGCACACACTCATCATGCTAAAGTACTATGATAGGTTTTATTTTAAGGTAAGTAAGGTAGAAGCTGAGAGAATGGGCATTTTTCCTTAAATTGAGGCCATTTGGAAATAAAAAGTATTTGCAATCAGAAGAAAATATCCCTCCTATTGTTCTGTTCTTTTATATTTGAGTCCTTTTTATCCTTAGCATTGTGTTCAACCTGTGTTTGTCTTTTTTGTTCTCTAGTGGCAGCATGGGAGCATGAGAGCAAGGAAAAAGCCACTCTACCTCACCTGAAACTGAAGATCATACTGTCGCAAAATGTGACACCAAGGAATCTACTCCCCCACCCCACCCCACCTCGGCCCTGCCCATCATCTCCACCCCTATCCCCTCAACCCTCACCTAATCCACACACATACAATTACACACACACACACACACACACACACACACACTCCACATTGCAAACACCATCACCACCACCTTTTTTGTCAATGTAACTATTTTATCTTTCAGTTTCTAGAAGAATTTGTGACCAGAGTTTTCTGACTAGATAACTGCTGTCTGTACCACTTAATGTATTAGCAGTCCTCTTGCTGTTTAAATTTGCCAAGCACTTATAAATCCACCCCCACCCAACCCCCCACTCCCACCCTCCTCTTTCTGAGTCATGTGTCTGTGCCCTCTCTAATACAGGTTGGGCAACTGAGCGCTCCTCCTGTAGGTCACCACCGAAGTCCCCTCAGGGACCACATCCAGCTTTAAGTAGAATGAGAAGAAATAAATATTTTTCCTCTTTAATCATTTAAATTTCATTT